GGGAGGAATGCCAGGTAGCAGGTCACGTTGCAAGGGTGAGTAATCTGAACTGTCTTGCCTGCACTGAGGTGAGCAAAGGCCAGGACAGTTAAAGAAGAGTAACTGAAGTGCTGCACATCAACCTTGTATCTTGCCTGGTAGTAACTTGTCTGTGTAACACGTGTTTGCCCTAAAGCTACAGCCTTACCAAAATGACTAATGACGCCTTTATATGACTTGTCTGCTCTCACACAGAAAGGCCAACAAACCCCCCTCACTTTCAGTCTTCCGTTTCAATCATTAGACAGCACTACTACCCTTTAATTAAAATTCTTCTCCTTCTGTTTAGCCTGAAAAGGATAATTAATTATCTCTTTGTAGCAATTGCTCTCAGTGCCTGATGCTACTGAAACAGATTCTGTCTCATAATTTTAAGTGCGACCATAATGTCACATTATGATCCCTTAAAATAGCAATAAAATTGTTTCTTCTAAGCCAGTGCTGTACAGCATGCTATTGGTGCGACTCCATTAGCAGCAAGCATATGCTGCTGCTGCAAAGAGGAAAGCAGGTCTGGAAAATGTCTCAGTTCAGTATGCATTTAACTGTTCCTATATGTAGCAATTGGAATGAGAATGGGCTTTTCACGTATACTTAGGTGTTGTCCTGTCTTGGGGCTTGAGCTGAACTTTAAGTAAAATGTCTTTTGGTTAGAGAATTCAGGGGTTTCTCCTCACATAAATTTATGTATATGAAAGCATATAATTGGGTCATAGTCTGTCACTGTCTTCTGCCCATAGGTTCAGATGCTTTGGGCTGAAAATAAATCAGTTCTGAAAATGATCCTATTAGAATCATCACACAAATCTTGATTCTCCAATGCTTCACAGAAATGTATGACTTTTTAGCTTTTTTGCCCAATTATACTATGATTCCCCTTTGAAGCCTGTAGAGGGTGTGCTCTCCATTTCAAATTAGGATTGAATGTCTTTCTGCAAAGTAGTAACCTAGCTCAAACTGAAGTTATAAATTAGCTCCAGATATTATTGGGTGAAATGTTATGGACTGAGATACACAGAAAGTCAGAACAGATGACAACGAGAGTCGCTTTTGGAATTAAAAATCTATCATTCTCACTGCAGATCTCGCAGTGTATGGTCATTGCCTTCCTCCGTAGCTCAGCTGTGAGCAAAGATGAAGCTGTTTGCCTCCCTTCAGACTCTTGTTCTGAAGTCTCAGAACCATATTAAAATAAAGTTTAGCAGAGACTGTACAGCACTAATCTCAATTCTTTTAATCAGGAACGAGATCGTCTTTTTGAAAAGCAAACTGTTCTTGACCAAACCACTGCAAAGTCTACATCACTTAGAATTTTAGTGATGAAAGTGTACCAGGAGGTTCTACAGTTTATGAATTATCTCACAGGAGTACTTAAAAGGCCCAAAGTAGATTGCAACACCCAGAGGTCTCAGGAATACATCCCTGAACACTGACTCCGTCTTGAACAGTTCATTATCTAAGTAGGGAAGACAAAATATGCAATAAAGTGATATTCTTCTCCCCAGCTAGCAGATGGGGAAGGGAATGATAGCAATTATGTTGCCCTAGTTACAACATGGAGACTGTGGCAGAGCCAGAAACTGAAATTAGAGCTCCTGGGTCTCGTTCCAGGTATTTAGAGCCAAGTCCCAAACTTTAGTTTGGAGGAACCATGTCTCTGTTGAGTCTTGGTCAGTCAGGTACAGGTGTATGGCATGAATGGGAGAGAGTGACAGTCTTCTGCACCCATCCAGCCCTTGCTCTCTAGTAGGGTAAATAATTGATTTATCATGGGAGACCCAAGACACAGTAAACAGAAGTTGTTTTCAGTTCCATAGAAATTATTCTTTTATTTGTTCATTTTTAGGAACATGTTTCCAGCCAATCTTGTTGAGGCCACATTCAAGCAGGTAAGTGGCTATATTCCTTTTACCACTGATGAAAGAGGTGAGGCAGCATCACATAAAACATGTATCTTCGTAAAACAGAATCCATATATAGACATTGCATATTACTTCAGATACTGTTAGTACCTTCAGCATTTAGGAATTAATGAGTCCCTTCCCATTAGCCTCAGCAGCCTTGGTATCTGAAGGCAAAACAAACAAGCATAAAATGCACAGTGTGACTAGAGAGTAGACAAGCACACCTATGTCAACTCCACCTCCACCTGGAGGAACTTGAGAAAGGTGCTGTAGGGAAGCAGAACAATTTATGCCAGTATGCCTAGAGCATGGTTTCTCTTACCACGAGACTGTAGTCACAGAGTAGCTGGAATCTCTTTAAGAGCACACAGTAACACCGCACAAAGGAAGAACAGAACACCATGTCCAGTTAAAGCAACAAAATTATGTATTTGGGAAGAATCTAATTACTCAGATTGGAATTTGGTGAGGAAACCTCATCTAAAAGTTCTGAGTGAGCAAGAGGCATGGCTATATTTCTTTCACCTGAAGGAATATTTCATGGGAACCTTACCTCTGATGAGGCAAAGAGAAGGGCCCTCAGAACCTCTAGGGAGGTATTCCTGACTAGATCTTATAGGGAATTAGCTCTATCAGGAGATAATGTGTTTGTTGCACAAGGGTCTGATCATAGGAAACTGAAACTCTGATTTTGTTATGCTCTTCCAAAAATTCAACACTTTTTACATATTTTAGCAGCATAGGGACAGGAACTGTCATGCTTCTTTTCGTGCTTGTCCCTTTAACGTGCAGCCTTGTTGAAGCAGAGCACGTAGGAGGTCTCATTAAACTATAAATGCCTGCTGTGATATTATAATAAAAACTATTTTGTTTTCTTTCAGTATCGCACCAAGAGTATTCCCATCATTAAATCTAACAAAGCATCATCTGAAAGCACCACTCGTCGCGTTATAATATATGGAGTCCAGGATGAGAATGGATCCAATGTCCAGAATTTTGCCTTGGATATCACTCCCCCTCCTGAAGTGATTTACAAGTCAGAACCAGGCACTAGTGACGGCATGAATGTGCTAGGGATTGTGATCTTCTCTGCCACAATGGGTAGGTTTCAGACATGTTTGGTTTGTAATAATCCCAGTATCCATTTAAGAGAAGATGATAGGGGTTGGGTTGTTTGGTTTCTTGATCACCTTTTTTAACTGCTTCTATCTAAACTTTGTGGGGAAAAAGGCAAGACTGTTACAGAACTGTTCTTCCAACCTTTCAAAGATAAATCTTTAAAATCCTTGATGACTTTTGTTCCATACAGTTCTGTTTTCTGTGCATGCACTTACATTCTTTTTGTTTTATTTTTTTTTTCTGGATTATTTTGAGCTTTTACTTATGAACCATTGTTTCCTGACTGTAAGAAACACTAATACAGTGTGCTCAGAGGAGGTAGGAATTACTACACCAGGTCATATCTTGCCAATATTCTGTTTCACTCTCTGGCCAGTAGCACAAATCCCAGAGAAAGTTTCAAGAAATTCTGAGATAAACAAATCTGTAGCAGGCTTTCTTTCCAAATCCCAAGAAGTTTGTACAGTTGTAATGCCCAGAGCTCCAGGTGTTGTAATACAAGAACAAAGAACTTCCCACACTGCTCTTGGCTCAGGGGGCATCGAGCTGAGACACCCCTTGCTCTCATGGCTGGATGTTTCAGCCCTGCAGCTGGCAGACCAAGACAAACCTGCTCCCAAACCAACTCCTTGGCTAAAGTTCCCCCCACAAGGCAGAAAATTACTTTAGCCCTGGAATCTGCTCTGTCTGTTGCTCTTGCCCAATTTTAGTCACATTTTACCACATTATTAGTGCAGAATATAACTGTCACTTATCTATGTAAGAACACAATTCAGATAATGAACATCAGTGATACCCTGATTAAGTGAGCTACAAAGGTATATTGTTTTATCAGTTTTAAATCTGCGGATCTTCTCTTTGACTGAAACTTCTTGATTTTATTTTTGCCATCTTGCAATGCTGATAGTTATATACCATCTAGTAGCTTATCGCAGTGGACTCTAAGAGCTTCTGTCTGGCTACTTTATTCAGTTTCACTTGCTGGAGGAACTCAGTGGTGCCATGTGTGTTATATTATGTTTGTGGATTTGGAAGAGGGAATTCAAACAAACATGCCCTAGTTAATCATAAAGTTCTGATGATTTTTACAAGAAGATACTGATCAAATGTTCCTTATCTAAATCTGTTCTTGGAAGTTAATTTGGTCAGCAGAGGTAGTTCCATAAAACATCTTTGTTTAGTATATTATGGTTCATAGCAGCACAAGGGGTCAAAAAATCAAGTCTGGATTTAGCAGATTTCTCTCTCTTTTTTAGTTTCTCCAGAGGGTGGTATTTCACATGCAACATTGCTGGAAATTGACTGTGCCCCAGTTTGTTGTATTTTATAGTCAATTCCCAAAGTACAATGTCACAGCAAACACTATTCCAGCCGAAAAGTATTGGATATAAATGAATTAATTACATGTGCTTATTAGGATCAAGGGCAATTTTGTACTTCTGAGTACAGAAGATCATTCATTGTTTTTCCAGAACTGAATGTATTACTTTTACCATGCTCCTAAGTCTTGCTGGGCTGGGGCTCAAGAGATGGAAGCTGACAGCTGGTTTCTTCCTGGCTGATGTACAGAAAATGTACGGCCAGTACTGCCATGTACAGCATAGCCCCAGCTGCTGGGTCAGCTGTGACTGTTAACTGTGAACAAACCTGAGACACCAAACCCTCAAAATCTGTCATCTACCGATGACTATTTCAGACTGTCATTTTGAACAAAGGATGCAGCCAAGCATTTATCAGCTTTCTGCACCTCCCAAAAAAATGGAAGCAATGAGACAGGAGACATATGGTTTGAATCTCTGTGAAAGAAGAGCATCCTTCCAAAGTTTATATTTAGTGCAAAAAAATGGTATACAGACCTTCCTGCTTTGTAACAGTTTTGCTGGCTTTGGCTGAGTCTTACTTGTAGAAGGGTCTTTTTATACCACTTTGGCATAGAAAGCCAGCATTAGGGTGGGTATGAGTTCTTGTTACACCTTATTTAAGGTCCTTGAACAGCATCAGAATAGCATAAAGGGACAAGAATTTAGACTTGAGCTAACTGTCTTTTCCTGAAGTGGGAGCTGAATTCCTTAGTAATCTCAGTCCAGGAATAAATCCTGTACATGAACGATTGGACTTCTTTGCCAGTCATGCATTAAAATGGGCAACATTTGAAAGGAAGAGTGTGAGGTCAAAACACCTGAAGAGTCTTGATGCTGGGCTCAGCTGTGACTAGCTGTATTACCTCTTCTCACACAGTGTGCAGGAATTTCTGTTAGAGATTATCACAAGTGGCTAAGTATTTAAACATCTGCTCTTTTTATCTTGGAGGAGCACACGTTATTTATTCTCTACAAGGAAAATGTTTGCACTGAAATGGAACTTGGTACACCAGGGCTGCAGACAGAAGGCCCCAGTCCTGCCTGCTCCCCTGTCTGTTCCCACCAAGAGGCACGTGCCTACGTAGGACAGTAACTTATAGAGCAAATTACAGTTATTCCTGTAAAATTAAAAAGAAGGCATTTCTTCTTTTTGGCATTATACAGAATAAGAAGCCAAGACTTGTAAAACTGCCACCGACCAGACTAGAAGAGCTGAAATATACTTAATGGCCTATTACCAAAGATGAGCAACATACTTAATAAAGGAGTGTTGTCTTCTGATTTAAAAGTTACAGCTTAGATGAATATTAACAGGCTTCCAAATCCACATCTTGAATGCACTGTTATTGTGAAATCTCTGGATAAAACAGCTGAGAGCTCCCTCCCTGCCTCAGGAGGAGATTGCCCTGGAAGCGGTGCTGCCTGACACGTGGCTTGCAAGTGCAGCTGTGGTCTCCCAGGGACAGAGCCTGGGCTCCTGCTCAAAGCAAGGACGCTGCATATCCAGAGCACGCAGTGGCAGCATGCACCCCACTCATACCCCCCTGCTTCCCCATGATACTCTCTTCAAAGGCAGCTAGCTTTTGAAGTGCTTCCCTGAGCAATTAACTTGATCACTTGTAATCCTTTCAGGGAGGGATGGCAGCAAAATTAATAAAATAATAGAAAAATTATTTATATGCATTATTGGAAAGTAACACTATCTGGTGAATATGTGGTTAGATCACACATCACAGAGTTGTATTCTTTTCCTTTCTGAGCACTGGGTGCAGATAAATGGGTTTTCTTTGCTGGTTAGTCTGTATAGCAATTTGGCTTTTCTTCACGTTGCATTTACTTATCTCCCCCAAGTTTGCAATGCCTGACTGATTATGAGGGTTGGTTGTTATTATGTACACAGATACCTACTAAA